AAGTTTTGGTTACTTAGTGGTTTTTCAGCCATACTTAGATGTCTTGATCTCACTCCCTTTGGGTAGTTTTATTGAATCTTGTATAAGACTGAAGGATTTGTCAAATCGAGCTGAGTATCCTGAGTTCACATGATGTTATGCTACCGAAAAGTAGACGCGCTTCCGTTGTTTCTTTGTTAACGAGGCTGAGTAGTGTTTCCAAGCACGTTTCGAAAGGGGATTCATAGTACGGTCAATGTAATCAGCCCCATATGAACTAGTGTCTTGATATTTTTATGTTCATATAAGCTAATACGGTAACTTGCCTTTCTCATGCCATGCTAGTGGAATAATTTTTTGCTGGAAAATGTTACTCGAAATCTGATGACAATGTGTGTTTTACTGAGAGATTTGGAAAGTCGTTTTTGAAAAATTTCTGTTTTAGTGACACTTTCATATTCGAGATTCACTAGTAAAATATTTTTGGAGACTGTCTGGTCTCACTCAACAGCTTTCTTCGATTTCAAGATCTTATCAATGGATTTGGGTATGAAGGCATTTTTTGTCATGATTCTTCGAAGATTGTTTAGTTCTTCGTTTTTGATGTGGTTGTGTTCTCTGAGCTGGATAGTCAATTTGCGAAACTTTCATTGCCCTACTGGGCAACAACTTCAGCGCGCATACTTCAATTTGTTGGAGTGAGCTTTTAGATTTATTTCTCCACGAGTTTATTAATCATCCCCTCCTGGTGACCTTAGATGTGATTAGTTGTTTTTGTGTGCTTTCACACCCGCTAGGCTACTTGTATTAGAACTGACTGTTTCCTTGACTTGAACTGTGACCCATTCTGTGTAAGATTTCCTTTTTATCGAAGACATCTTCGTATCCATGACTGATAAACTCGTAGAGAAATCTTAAAGCACCCTTCAAATTTAAGGATGTGCTGAAGATGTCACCTAGTGGTGGGGCGATTAGAGCTTCGCAAATTAACTATCCAGCTCAGAGAACATAACCACATTGAAATCATCCGCCTGAGCTACAAATCTTCTCCATCATATTTAGTTCTTCGTCTCTAGTTACCTGGGTGCATATCTTCTGCATGCACGAGGAGAGTGAATGAACTAATCTCCTCTTATTGATTAGTCGGATAGGGATTTGAAAATTAATGAATTCTCCCTTCCATGTAGATATTTCGTGAAGATATTCCCTCCTTTGAACATCAAAGAAATGAAAAGTTAACTCCGATTCTATGCCTAATGTGAAATTAACGTTTAGTTGAGCATTACTGAATGTCTGGAGCAAGTTTTCAAGATTCTAACTGTGTGTTAGTTATTGTTGTGACAGGATAGCATTTTCTAAACTTTCCATTAAACAACAGGTTGAGAGGAGTACCATTGGATGATCCATCGAAACACACACACACAAACATTTTACAGCTCGTAATACTCACAAATAACCCGAAGGTAAATCCAACATCTCAATGATAATAGTCTTAGCTGATTTATATGAATAAGAGGTTTAGAAGACAAATTTCGTGAGATGATATCTTCATTCCGTAGTTTCTTTACAACCGATTTACAACTAACATGGTTCAAACCATAATAAAATAAAGTGCATTACAATTACTGAGTTATATAAAACAAAATAACCTCGCCAAATACTAGCTTGCTAGGCTACTAGCTTACTAGTTTTCTAGCCGGTCCCAAGCTCGGGTAAACAGGGAGGGTTGGCGCGTGGTGCTAGCAACTCCACCTCTGTAAAACAAACAAATCGCTACAGAAACTTCAACGAATAAATATATTAAAAATTCTAAAAACATAAGCAATAGCCTTACTTTTCGCTGGAATCGAGGAAGTGAAATGACGCTGGCTGGTGAAAGCTAGCCTTCGGGAAGCCAGTCAGCCGATGTGCCTTCTTTCGATGAAAGCAAAAGTAAGGATGGGTACCTGGAATGTTCGTACAATGTACGAAACTGGAAAGGCTGCCCAGATAGCCGCTGAAATGAGAAGGTACAGAATAGAAGTGTTGGGAATCTGCGAAAGCAGATGGAACGGAACTGGAAGGTGCCAACTACCTACTGGAGAGACAGTAATCTTTTCCGGCCACCGAGAGGACAACCATGAGCACACCGAGGGAGTGGCCATCATGATGTCACCAACAGCAACCAAAGCTCTCATGCAGTGGGAACCAATCTCCTCCAGGATAATGACAGCCAGGTTCAACTCAAAAGGAAGGAAAGTTACAGTCATTCAATGCTATGCGCCTACAAACGTCTCAGAACAAGAGAAGAAGGAGGCGTTCTACAGACAACTACGAGTAATAATGGACAACGTCCCAAATGGCGATATCAAAATCCTGATGGGCGACATGAATGCGAAGCTGGGAGGAGACAACACAGGAAGAGAACTCACCATGGGTCGTGAGGCCCTCGGCGAAATGAACGACAATGGTGAACTCTTCTCAGACTTCTGCGCCTTCAATGATTTGGTGATTGGCGGTAGTGTGTTCAAACACAAGGATATACACAAGACGACATGGATTTCACCAGATGGAAACACCAAGAACCAAATAGACTTCATCTCAATTTCAAGAAAGTGGAGACGGAGCCTACTGGACACAAGGTCAAGGAGAGGAGCAGATGTGGGTTCAGACCACTATCTAGTACAAGGGACTTTCAAGGTGAAACTAAAAGCCTCGAGGATAGCTGGGGATAGGCCACAATGCAAGTTCAACACTCAATTACTGAAGGACACAACCACAAAAGACACCTTCACTGCAACTGTCAGAGCAAAGCAGGAAACACTACGCGACATCACTGAAGAATCATGCGTGGAAGAACATTGGAAGTCTCTGAAGGCGATTCTCAACGAAACGTGTTCAACGGTTCTAGGAAGAAAGAAGAGACAAGACAAGGAATGGCTCTCAACGGACACTTGGAAATTAATAGAAGAGAGGAGAATGGTGAAAGAGAAAATGATTCAATGCAAGGACGGACAGGAGAAGGAGACGCTGAGCTCAACTTACAAAGCACTGGACAAAGAAGTGAAGAAGAGTGCTAGGAAGGACAAAAGACGATTCTACGACAACCTCGCCACTGAAGCTGAGAAGGCAGCAGGCAAAAGGGACCTGAGGACACTATATCAGATAACCAAATCTCTATCCGGGAAGAGATCAACACAAGCGAAACCTATAAAAGACAGCCAAGAGAACCCAATTACCAAGGAAGAAAAACAGATTAAACAATGGGCGGATCACTTCAAAGGACTCTTGAATCGACCATCACCTGCAACCCGTCCAGAAATACCAACAACAGCGCGCACACAACTGCAAGTTGACACCAATCCTCCAACGAGAGCTGAAGTCTTGAACGCAATCAAGCTTCTGAAAGCTGGAAAAGCAGCCGAACCAGATGGAATACCCCCTGAAGCACTGAAAGCGACCCGGAGACGATAGCAGACATGCTGACTCCATTATTGCAAAAGGTCTGGAAGGAGGGAAAGGTGCCTACTGACTGGAGGAAAGGTTACCTCGTGAAACTACCAAAGAAGGGCGACTTAGGACTCTGCAAGAACTGGCGAAGAATCACTGCTCCTGTCGACGCCAAGTAAAATCCTGAGTCGCATCATCCTGGAGAGATTAAAGGACGCACTGGAGACAGAACTCCGACCAGAACAAGCTGGATTCAGGAAAGTCAGGCAAATCATGTACTGACCAAATTGCAACTCTACGCATCATCATCATCATCAAGAACAAAGCATGGAATGGCAATCAAACCTCTACCTCAACTTTATAGACTTTGAGAAGGCCTTCGACAGCGTTGACGTGAAGTAATTTGGAAATTACTCGAGTACTATGGCGTACCCCAAATATTCATCAACCTTATTCAACAGCTGTGTGACAACGGCACATGTCAAGTGATCCACAACGGAAAACTCAGCGAGGCGTTTGGAGTAAACACAGGAGTCAGACAAGGGTGCTTATTATCCCCAATGATATTCCTAATTGTGGTGGACTACTGGATTATGCGTCAGACAGTGAGTGGGAAACGAGAAGACAGGAATATCCTGGACCGACGTGAAGAACCTAGAAGACCTGGATTTCGCGCGTGGATGACTTATGTTTGATGTCACACACAATCGAAGACTTACAAGCGAAAACCGACAAACTGGTCGAAGAAGCAGCCGGAGAAGACAGGACTCCAAGTGAACATAGACAAGACGGAGGTTATGAAAATAACCAACCAACAAAACAACAGCAACAACATCCAACGTCAATCACCATCAACGGGAGGGATTTGAAAGAGGTTACTTCATTCACTTATCTAGGGAGCATTGTCTCAACTACAGGAGGAGCGGACGAGGATGTCAAATCGAGCGAGAATCGGGAAGGCGAGAAACACATTCATCAACCTGAAACCAATCTGGAAATCTTCGTCACTCAGCATCAACAACAAAATTCGGATTTTCAATACAAACGTCAAGTCAATCAGTTCTTCTATACGGATCAGAAACTTGGCGGGGGGTCACAAAGAATATTTCCAACAGCCTGTTGCAGACCTTTATTAACAACTGTCTTCGCTCAATACTGAAGATCAGATGGCCGGAAAGAATCACCAACAAGGAATTATGGGAACAAACAAAGCAAGAACCAATCGCCCAACAAATATGCAGGAGAAAGTGGAGATGGATTGGACACTCGCTGAGGAGACCGCTGGGTGACATCGCGCGTCAAGCCCTCGAGTGGAACCCGAAAGGGAAGTGGCGAGTGGGACGTCGGTGCAAGGGTGACATGGAGGAGATCGTATGAAGAGGAGTTGAAAGAATATGGACTAACACGGATGCAGGCGAAAAGTACAGCAGAAAACAGAAGTAAATGGAGACGTGCAAATACTGATTATATATATATATATATATCCCTGTATATATGCAGAGTATTTAGTTGAGGAGTAGTTCAATCGAAATATGATGAATTCATTAAATCCTGCTCTATTAACTTTTGTTTCTTATTTTAAATTTGTTTAGTTTCAACGCGTAGAATCGTTTACATCGTCATTTCATCATTTTTTTTTAATCATAAATCTAAGCAAATTATGCATAGTATGTGAGCATCAAAAGTTTGTAAACACAATTAGATTTGCTAAATACACATTGTCACACATTCACTAAACTATTGTAATTGCATAGAATTAGTATAATAAATAGTTAATGGATTAGATCAAGTGACGCATTGACTGTCATATACAAATGAGTACACAAATTCTTTAGTGTTCAGAGAACGATTACCGTTTTCTGGCACTACGGATATATATATATATATATATATATATAGACATCTTAAAGTGAATTCCGATGGCTTCAGCGATAATGTAAAAGACGAATTTGTAAGACAGAATTAAGATCAGTCAGGAAGAGGTAAGTGTTAGACTAGACTTAATGTAGACCTCAAAATAACTACACTTACTATAAACTTCACCGCTTTATAAGCTTAGCAGTACTCTACTCTACCTAACGTGTAAGTACTGACGAACGAGATCAAAGTAAAATGAATTGAGACAGGAAGTGTGTCTGTGACGAAGTTGTATTTTACACAAATAAAGGTGTTATACATCTTATCTGCTGCCTTGACTGGTGGTAAGCTCGAAGAGTGCGCTAAATAAAGCACAACGAGAGAGAGAGAGAGAGGACCAAGTATGTACAGGAGAGTCACAAATCAAAAGATGAAGTAGTGCCAAAGTGGGTGAGTGAGTGGATGCGTTGAAACAAAAGTTCAAAGGTTCAGTGTACACTACAGGTTATCCCCCGCCCCACATAGAAGGTTGTTGGGAAACCGGCATACTTCGGCACATGAAAGTTGTGAACTGAGAGTAGGGCTTTGCACAATGACATCGAATGAACAAGGAAGTTTGAAGATAGTAATAAAAAATTGCAAAAGGAGCATCCCAAACATACTACAAACCTTCACTAACAGCTGTCTTCGCTCAATACCACTCAAGATCAGATGGCCGGTCAGAAAAGATCAGCAACAGTGATCTCTGGCAATGAGCGAACCAACACAGCAGGAAGTGAATGTGTAACAAATAGGCAGGAAGAAATGAAGATGGATTAGCTGGCCATACTCTGAGGAAACAAACCATCAAGTGACATTACTAGACAAGCCATTGCTCGAGTGGAACCCGAAAGGGAAGTGGGGAGTTGGTGATTAGTGAGGTGACTTGGAGGAGGAAGTAATGTGAAGAGGAGATGAAAGCATGTGGTCAGACTTGGAGAGGGGTGAAAAAGTTGTCAGAAAACAGAAGGCAATGGAGACGTTTGGCTGAAGTCCTATGTTCCTCTGGGAATTAAAGGATACATTATTAATATAATGAACATGCCCAGACAACGTTGAAGCAACTGCACAAGAAGCCCACGTGTCAACATGAGAACGGGCATGAGGTTTCGGCTTTTGTGTATGGCAAAGGCGCTGGCAATTCATCATTGCAGCCCTGAACTCTGTATACAGAAAAAGTTTGTCCAGTCTCTTATTCTACCTTGGTCTGAACCTCTTCACTAATCGTTTCCTGTAAAAAATTTTGAGTTTTTCTTTTGTTTTTAATTTTACTTTTAGTTTGCTTTTGCTTTAATAATTAATTCACTATTATCAATTTCATATGCTCCTTTTGTATATTTCCACACCCTCTTCACACTTGTTAAATTGACACTCAAATACCACCTTTATTCTCACTGAAGAGCAATTTTAACCTTATGAAACTTCTATCTTTGTTCCGTTGAGTACCATGTAATTTACAACTTTTAATTTTCACTTCTAAAGCCACTTATGATTAATTATATCAATTATGTCACCCCCTATTACTCAATAATAGACCATTATATATTTTTCTAAGTATAAGTATGACTGTACAGCATCTGAAGATGATTTCGTCGATAAAGAAAATTTTCTTCGTGGAATTGAACATCCTTAGTGCATAATAAGAGAAGACAATATGAATGGAATTGTTGACTGTTGGGAGCAGAAACACTGTTGACTATTAATGGAAGAAATCTAAGGGAGGTTGTCTTATTTACCCACTCAGACAAGCAGCGTCGTTTAAACTGAAGGCGACAGCAGAGATGTGGATATCAAATGCAGTCATGAAGAGAAAATCGAGACTGTAGTTCATAATTCCAAAATCAATATAGAGGTCTACAACATTCAATACAGGAAAGAAGATTCATATCTCAAACATTAACATCTCGTTAGTGCTTTTATAGGATTCAGAAGGATGAAGCGTTACGAAGATGAGAGTTACGTCAATACCTGCCTTCACTGGACTCATAATAGAGATCAGATGTCTAAGTAGTTACGTATGCAACAGGAAACCATGACAGAGAACAACCCAGGAAGCTGTCACCGAAGGGATTTGGAGAAAGAAAACGGAATTAAGCTGAATACATGTTGAGGGGGCTGTGAAGTAATATCGCACATAGCAGAAGGGTCACCTAGCGGGATCCGAATGAGAAGCGACTGAATAGCTGTGGGAGGGTGACGTATACATTATCTGAAGAGGAGATGAATGGTTGTGGGTAGTTGGAGAACCAGTCTGAAGTTATTGGATAGAGCTTAGTGCAGAAGAGGTGTCTTTCCGAATTTCTGTCGTCCATTCGGAACGATATAAATGAATGATAAATTAATAATCATAATAATAATAGGCGGGTGGCGGCGGGAACCATATTTCGGTAATGGTTATCTTCGCGAATTTTTAAAAAAATTTTTAATCTAATTTGTTCACAACAGTTTTGTAATATTCATTCTCAGTGGTTTGGAAAATACTTTGCTCTTCCTCAGTCGAATAATCCCCGTGTATATCTGGTGATTCTTCAGAATTCAATAATCGACTTACCAAGCGAATGAGTAAAGTAAAGTCACAATTACCTATCGCATGGAAAACTTCTAAAAGAAATATTAAATGGTTGATAAGAATTTTTGTTCCATTACAATATATTTAAGAGCCACCAGTCATTAAAGGATACATATATTGAAATGATTTGAAGAAAACTCTCCACACGAAGTGTTCAAAGCCAAAACTTATCCTTGTAAAGTTACCACAGCCTATTTAGGAATTATGAAGAACCAAAAGAACATTATTGTTTCAATTAATTCCTAGAGGAACATCGGGTCTCAGCTAAACGTCTCCGTTGCGTTCGGTTTTCTGCTAACGTTTTCACATGTCTCTAAATCTGCCCACATGCTTTCATCTCCTCTTCACATCACCTCCTCCTCCATGTCACCCTCTCAGTGACAACCAATTCGCCACTTCCCATTCGGGTCCCACTCGAGTGATGGCCTGGTGTATGATATCGCTTGATTGTTTGTTTTTCACAGTATGGCCAGCCAATCCCCCTCGATTTCTTCCTACGTATTTGTTGTACAATTGTGTTTCCTGCTGGGTTGGTTCGCCCATTGCCAGAGATTACTTACTATTGCTGATCTTTTTCTGGCCGGTCATTAGATCTTCAATCAAGTATTGAGCGAAGACATCTGTTGATGAAGGTGTGTGTAGTTTTTTCGAAGTGGCCTCCTGACGCGGTGCGGTGCCAAGTCTCTGATCCGTTTAGTAGCACTGATTTTAAAAGAAAAACATTACCTTACCAAATTCATCAAGCACATTTCAGATACATTTATGAGATTACTTTTGACGTGAAGGTTATAAATCAATGAAAACACTACAGAACATACAATCTAGACTGAAAGGTTCATTGCCAAAAAAGATATGAGATAATTTGTTTATATGAGAACAGAATTTGATCACAGAGTGTAAGACCATTACAAGGAAAATTTTGTTTTGATAAAAGTGTTAACTTAAAAAGTTACACATAAAAGTCATTCACAGTCTTGTGTTAACAAGTAAAGATTTCAAATTCGCACAATGATATAACAGCGTTTGGTTGGTTGAAAATGAAACGTCATACAGTCAGTAATACAAAACCTCAGAATAGCTTTCAAAAAACACCAAAGTAATGTTAGAGTTTTCTAGAGTTCTAATTGGCAGCTAGAACAAATATTCACCACCGATAACATTGGCTGATGCCAGTCACTCTAAAATCACGAACTGGTTGGAGTTAGAATTCATTGGCTGGCCACTGAGTTGGTTACCAGTGGCTGAATGGTGTACGAGCTTGCCTGTTAACTGGAAGGTCCTGGATTCGAGCCCTGGCGGTGGGTGCGCACTGACGATGAGTTCCAAACTAGGACGAAACAACTGTCCAGTATTTCTTGATGGTTTTCAATGTTTCTATTACCGATATCAATCTGTGATCAAACTTAAAAAACAAATCAAATTCCTACAAACCAACTCTTGAAGATATCGGAGTAATCAAAACAAAGTTTTGAGAAGACTAGTGTAGCGTGTGTGATATTGTAACAACAGAAGACAAGGGCCAGGCAACAGATCGTTTTATTATGAAAATCAACACGTATTTATACATATTTCACATACATTATTATAGCTTATGCAAGTAGACAAGCGCAGTCATCTGATTGGTTGTTTATCAGAAGTTAGGCAGACAAACGCAGGCTTCTGATTGGTTGTTTCGGGATTCCTCGACAAATAGAGTTCTCTATCTGCGAATCATATTTGCCCACGTTAAGTTTGCTGTGATTGGTTGTTGAATCAGCCTTGCTCATATTTTCTCATGGCCTGCTCTCACCACAATATGTCTGTCTGTGATGTGTATCCACATGATGTGTGTGTTTTGTTTTTGACAGTCTGTTATATTTTGCTGTGTGTATATGGATCGATATTCCATTATAACTGACAATATGCTTTTGTCTGTCCACTAGCTAAATAAACATGTATGACCTTGTTGTCGTCACATGACATTACAACAAATCATGTTAAGGCTGTCTATTTATTGGTTCAAGTGCATCAATCATTTTGATATATAATTTTGTACTGTATACTTACTTGTTCATACTTGTTCCCACGTTTCGTACACTACGTACCATTTCACTCACACTCTTGTGTGACAGTCATTATTTTCCTTGTCTGGAAAATACAAGTATCATCGTGAACGAGGTGGTCTTCTGATTTCCCTCTTTCCGCATCAGGACTATTAACTACTCGACGAGTACATAACATAATTGGCGAGGGGAAAACTACGATTAACCACTCAGCAGCAGTACATAACAGTCTGTCTGTCTGTCTGTCTGTTTTCGACATAGAACTTTGCATATATGTGCGGCAGTTCAAGTCGCCACACTCCCTCCATATAGCACACAAAGCAAGAGAAGAAAGTAGAAGAAATGCATAATAGAGAGAGACAGTAAACAGAGGTGTGAGACAAAGTAATAGTAGTAACGAAGAACAAAACAGTTTCATTGGAAATCATAAGCTAAGATTAATCAGTAGTATGTGAGGAGACGTTTATAGGCACAGAAATGTCAAATAGCAGGGAGATTGATTTCACGTCAGAGGAAGAAAATGATACGGCGTTGCGGGGATACTTGGGTGACGAAGTGAGAGGAACACAACGACAGATAATATGCATAAGGTGTACATAGTTTGGCTATGTAGAAATACAGAATTTCACCAGTAATCTCATGAAACTATAATCAACAAAGATAGAGAAAAGAGTGAAAAGTACGATTTAGGGAGAAACGTATTCCCTAAGAAAATAGAGAAATGACCAAATCGGTGCATGAAAGAATGATGATAGTAGCGGTAACAAATAACAGAATTTATCGATACCGAAACAAATATGTTGATGTGGTTGTGTTCTCTGAGCTGGATTGCTAATTTGCGAAGCTTTTATCGTCCCACTAGGCGATATCCTTAGCGCATACTTCAATTTGTTAGAGTGAGCTTTTAGATTTCTCCAGGAGTTTATTAATCGTCTCTCCTGACGGGTGACCTTGGACGTGATTGGTTGTTTTTGTATGTTTTCACACCTTTAGGGTTACTTGTATTGGAACTGATTGTTTCTTTAACTTGAACTTTGACCCTTTGTGTGCGTGAGATTTCTTTCTTATCGGTTGATACGTTTTATCTCGATGTGTCTATTGATTGATGATTCACTGGAATGGCAAGCTTCTAAAAATTCTCTAACATTCTTGTTGTTTCCTCTGTCTAATATCTGAACGTTGGTTGTCCCAGTCGAATTGATGCCCATGGTTGTCTGTGTGTAGTGATATGAGGGAGTGGATATCATGTCTTTTGACGGCTAACTTATGTTCATGGATACAAAGACAAAGGAGACGTCCACTTTGGCTAGTGTAGTACTTTTCGCACTTGCTACAATTTATTCTGTAGATGATGGTGTTGGTTTTATCCTCTTTCGTTGTTGAGTCTTTTGGTTGACATAGAACTGAGTGAAGTGAATTTTTTTGTTTGTGTGTGACATTAATTCCTGAAGGTTTGAAGAGTCTTGCAGTGTTATCTGAGATGTCCTTTACATATGGCTAGGCGATTTTCTTTGTGCTTTCCTTGGTGACTTTTGCTTTGGTGGGTTGGCTTGGGGGTATATGTCTTTTGATGAAATTCCGTTGATATCCATTCTTTTGGAAGACGTCCATGAGGTTCGCAAATTAACCATCCAGCTCAGAGAACACAACCACATGAAAATCATCCACCTGAGATACAAATCTTCCCTATCAAACAAATATTTGAAATGTAAAAGCATCAGAGGTATACCATTTTAGGCGGGCTTTTTATCATTTTTCAAATGACTCTGATAAGTCATTTAAGATATTCTGGCAAGTGTTGACATTCTCCTGGTATTATATAATCCGTTTCCTTGAGGCTAGAATGAGTAGTGTTCACTAACACCTTTTGAAAGGATTTGTATACAACATTTAGTATACCTAGTTATATGAAAGCAGGTAAACCGGTATATTATTTTTGTTCCCTTGGGTTCCTACTAAAACACAGGGCTTCAGCCGCACGTCTCCACTTGTCACTTCTGTCTTCCTTCTGCTGTACTTTTCAACTGCATCCATCCATGTTAGTTCATATTGTTTCAACTCCACTTCACACAGCCTCCTCCATGTCACCCACTCTTGGACATCACAGTCGCCGCTTCCCCTTCAGGTTCCACTCGAGCAATGGCCTGACGCGCGCGCGATGTCACCCAGTGGCCTCCTCAGCGAGTGTCCATTCCATCCCCACTTTTTCGTGCATATTTGTTGGTTGGCGACTGGTTGGTTCTTGTTTTGTTTGATTGTTCCAGCCATAGTTTCTTGTTGATGATTCTTTCCGGCCCGGCCATCTGATGTCCAATAGAGATCCAGCGAAGACAGTTAGTTGTTGATAAAGGTCTGCTCTGCAACAGGCTGTTGGAAATATTCTTTGTGACCAGCCAAGTTTCTGATCCGTATAGAAGAACTGACTGACTTGACGTTGTTTGTATTGAAAATCCGAGCGAATTTTGTTGTTGATGCTGACTGAGTGACGAAGATTTCCAGATTGATTTCAGGTCGATGAGTGAATGTGTTTCTCGCTCGCCTTCCCGATTCTCGCTCGATTTGATATACTCGTCCGTTCTGACTTCCTGTAGTTGAGACATTGCTCCCTAGATAAGTGAATGAATGAAGTAACCTCTTTCAAATTCCTCCCGTTGATGGTGATTGGCGACATCGTACATTTTACGAACGTTCTACGTCCCCCTCCTTAATTTTGCTTTCATTGAAAGAAGGCACATCGGCTGGCTGGCTTCCCGAAGGCTCCCGCCAGCCTGCGTCATTTCACTTCCCCGATTCCAGCGAAAAATAAAGTTATTGTTTATATTTTTAGAATTTTTAATATATTCGTGCATTGAAGTTTCTGTAGCGATTTGGTTAGGTTTTACTGGTGGAGTTGCTAGTACCACGCCCCAACCCTCCCTCTTTATCCGGGCTTGGGGCCGGCCAGAAAACTAGCGAGCTAGTAATCTAGGCGAGGTTAAACCGATGTATAAATAGTGAATTAGTTATTTGCGAGACCGTCTCCTTCAAACGGCTTGAAATCAGTAGACACTTACAGCACACTACCCTAATAGCTATTGTGAAGTTAACTGTCGTAAAGATATTGTCTTGAAGTCTAGCAGGGCAGGCATTGAGAGAGTCAGATGGCTTTAACATACTGTGAATGTTGCTCAGTCTATCTAGTCAACATGTTACATTTTACTTTATTTTTCTTCTTTTCTCTATATCAATGAACAAAACAGGATAAAGTACGTCATCTTGAACAGAAGCTAAGTGATGCCTTTTTAAAATCAGAAAATGATCAATATATCAAAGATAAACAAATCGATAGAAATGATTTACTCTTGAAGGAGAATGTATACTTAAGTAATGAACTAGAAAAGTTGAGGAAAATGGCTGAAGAAGTGAGTTAATTTAATTGCTACATTTTGATTTTTTAAATAATAATAATAATAATAGTGACAGTTGTAACAGCAGGACTCCATGGTATCTGACTTTCCCTCATTCCATGCCTTCCAAGTGGGACATAGGGCGCCAAACTTTGAGGTGTCATTCGAAAATAAAGCTCTTCTACTTGATAGGGATGCTAACCTCACTCCCTACCCTTCCTCTTTTCCGGTTGGTAAACTAGACTACTTTTAGGAATCTACCGGGCAGTCTGTGTAGTTAAAAAACACTCTGTCACAGAACCAATTACTTAGAAATTGGTATTTGATATGTTAGCGGAATGGCTGATTTAACGAAATGATGTCCAGTAATAGTAAACTATATTTTTAATTAGACACTAGTGAGTGACTAGTGTAATGTGTTTAGTCCAATCAAAAATATCCGAAACAGTCTTACGGGAGGTCAATCGCGACTCTGAATAGCTCAGTAGTGGTAACGTCTATGACTGCAGGCAGCACCGGGTGACGCGGGTTCAGATCTCAGGAGGGGCATGAGTTCCTTCAAGGTAACTGGAGACACGCCTTGCTGATGAGTGCCAACTATCACGAAACCTAGGTGATGCATGGCTCCCTGTGGCCGATTGCCTCCAAACATCCAGTACCACTAGCGAAATATAAAAATCTTACGATGGAACTTGAATTCTGTATGACTTATTCGCATTTCTATGCTATTTATATTCTGCTTCACAATTTGTTCATTCCCCCCTCGTTTTACAGGTTAATCCTTCACTTTTGTTATTCAAGATTCTTGCAGAAGACATCATACATAATATGCTACTTAAAAATTCATGTCAGTAGTACACACGGCATAGTCACATTTTTATTTCATTTTAAACGTGTACTTTAACATGATTAATCTTAAAATAATGAAGAATATTTGCAGCTCAGGTGTATGATTTGCAATCATATATGTTCTGTGAGCTGGTTGGTTTAATTGAAGAGCTTTCGTCGTTCTTCTAGACAACATCTTCAGCGCAGATTTTAGCATAAAATAAACTGATTTAAATTCTCCCTTTATGAATGATAGAACTGTGTCTCCTGACAGCAACCATCTTTGTGACTGGCAGTCGGTTTTACATCTGTATTGATCACTTTTTATTGACTTAATGCTCAGAAGCCTCAAAGTGGAAAGAAAAAGGTGAACAATACACAAGTAATGACAAATGAATAATCTTAAGTGGATTGATAATGTTTAAATTAAGGCACACATCAATCTCGAAAGGATTTAAATTCGACCCCAATGTATAGTATTTTTGGTGAGTGATTTTTCTATTATTTTCAAACTCATTTGCGTTCTCAGTGGGACATAGGCCCCCAATCTTTCAACCATGAAGTCCCGGTAATGATGGTGTAATCTTCAAGGAGTACGATTGCAAGCCTCACACTCAACCGTTCGTCTTTACCAGGATTACTATCGGCTAGGAGAGGTTTAGTTGTGTGTCAACCGGGAATCGAAACCCAACCACTTGCATATTATATCAGCATTCCACCCCTGAACCACCAATGCTCATATAATTCATATAAGAATAAAACTTTGGTACTGTGGTAGAGTATAACTCCATTATAGATAAGATTTTATGTTGATAAATCACACAGTGTTGCACAGTAATATTTACTGATGACGTTTCGAGCACAAACTACTGGTGTTAAATAACTATCCCATACAGTTCATTAGGAATATCAAGAAAGGTCAGAAGGAAAATAAAAATAGCGGTGAAACTAAAAATGATAACATAAAAAAAGAGAATATAAGGCATCTACTGTTATACCATATAAGGAAGGGACATCTTGAGCCCTAAGTAGGATTCTCAAAAAAGCAGGAATTAGGGTGGGGGGCATTTAAAACTTCTAACTCACCCGAGTAGGACAAGCTGTATGGGTTAAAGGACCCTGTTGGTGGACCCAATTAGACAAAATAATATAATTTACAAAATACCCTGGAATTACTGTGAGGTCAACTACATAGGTCAAACTAGTAGATCAGCAGTAGTGAGATTATCAGAACACAAGAATTTAACTACGGTTAGATTGATTGACCCCACTTGCGAAGATAAGTAATTTAGAGGAAAACTCAGCAATCGCTCTGCATGCATTTGCATAAAACCGCACAATAGGGTTGGGCAGAGTCAAAATTCTAAAAGTAGGTGGAGATAGAGAGAGGCTGATTACTGAATTCTGACTGGTTCATCGAGTCTACACCTAACACATGCAACAGAAATGACTCAATGCGGCAAATACCAGGGATGTGGAAGATATTATTACCACCAGTCAGTTAAATCAGAGGAGCATAATAAATAGTGTTAAAATGTATTTAATTCACATTATAACAGTCTAACAAGTTACTCATCTGATTGTATTTGATTGATAACACTCATATTATTATTTCTGAATGTACATATTATGTACTCGTCGCCAAATTATTGTTATGTACTGGTCAAGAGTTTAATAGTCCTGATACAAGGAAGACGGAAATCAAAAGACCACTAGGTTTGCGATGATACTTCTATTTTCCAAACACAAGGAGAATCGATATCACACAAGAGTGTGAGAGCAAAAATATATGAATGTTCGAACAAGTGTGTGAGCGAATATCCAAAATGAACAAATCAATAGACAGTCTTAACATGATTGGCTAATTATAATGGAATATCGATCCATATATACCTAGCAAATATAACAGACATGTCAAACAAACACACAGACTAAGAGAGCAACAGAAAGAGAGACCACCATATATATATATATATATATATATATATATATATATGGATACATATCAGTACATTATCCCATATTGGTTTTTATTTAAATGTCTAATCATCATTTCCACTCATGTATATAAATGAAGCAATAAAGTTGTGTGAGTGAGTACCTTGATATGATTATGAGCAGTAACAGTTTGTGATCGAAACGTGGTCATCATTTAACATTATTGTACAACACATCAAAATAAAATCTTATCTATAATGGAATGGTCATATTATTTGTTAAGATTCTGCTTAGAAATAAGGATGAAACAGAAACTTCATTTCTACATGTACTACTGAAATATTGTCGAAACTTTCGTAAGAATTATCCTTCATGACAAAAATAGATGATAATTTTGCCATTTGAAAAAATTCCACTTACCGCATCCCATTTTAGGGTTAATTGCATCTGCATTGTGCATCAGTGTTTCAGTGGTAATGTCCTCTCCAACCATGCAGGTGATCTGGGGTTTAATACCCGGCAGATACACTTCTAAATCTCACCTAACCGGCGGTCATCCCGTAGATGATGACAGGTTAAGTGTGAGGCTAGAAAGTTCAACCCGTAAACATATCACAACAAATACTTTTATTATTCCTTTGTGTTCCCAGTGGATTATAGGGCACCAAGCTAGAGCTTTGAAGTTTCAGTAGCACTTGTGTTTAGTTTTACGGGATGCTGCTGCTGTTTGTCAGCCTCATGCTCAACCTTTCTTCTTTTCCAGTCTTAATACTGGCTTAGAGAGGTTAAAAAGTGTGTCCATGACCGGAGGCTATGAAGTTACATAGACTAAGATGGCTAGGTCACGTGCTGCGCATGCCTAACCACCGCCTCCCCCGACGGGCATTGCTAGCTGACATAGGTTCAGGTTGGAAAAGAGCCAGTGGTGGCCAAACAAAAACATGGCCTCATCAATCCATGAAATCCTTGACAGTTAAACTGAGTCAGGTAGGGAGATGCAGACTCCCGGGTTGTAGCCCTCGGGACTCTAGGAATCAATGGCTGGAGACAATAGGTGACATGGCTCAAAATCGTTGTCAATCGCCAGCGCAGATGTATTCAGTCTCTGTAATCTTTCATATTTCTTTCTACCATTACCCATTCTGTTTCACTCGTATACTTGTCAAACTCTATTGATTCTCTTCACTCATCTTCTTGTCTACCTCTGTGTGCTATTTGGAACGTGGCAACTCGAACTGCTGCACTTCGGTGCCAAGTTCTATGTTGAATCCAGACAGACAGACAGACAGATCAAACGCCGAACTACATGCGTGGTCTGCGGACATTCTACTGCTGAGCCACCGACGCACACAACGACTAGTTCAGCTTCAAAACTCAAAGCATGAAGCCCTATGTCCCACTAGGGACTAAATGGAATGAAAAAATTCACCAGTGTTAATAAAGATCAACTTAAGAACAAACAGTGTTAGCCAGTTATAAATGTAGGCGTATTCTGCCGTTCCTGAGCTTCCATACACTCTCAACGGGTTATTATAAACCGAAGTATCACAATGGTTTTATAGTGACAACCTAGGATTGTTTTCATTATTGGTAGGATTCAGTCAGCACCAGTGTGGAACACTAAGCACATAACATTGGTTACTGCCCTGGGACCAGCCCACATACCCATTACAATCAAACAGTAGGCCAATCGTTTGACCACGGATTGATATCATACAATGACTCTCTCTTATAAATTTGAACAAGGAAAGAAGAAACATTGACGCGCAGAATAATCTGGATCCATTTTATTTCTTTGGTTCTCATCAGCTGCGTACAACTTGAATTTTTTAATAAAATAAAAATAAAAAGTGTACAATTTTTAACAAACCTTTGTCCTCTCCCCCTTTATTTTTCGCTTGACTCTCTTAAGGGAGATAATTTTTCTTGATCTTCTGAGTTCTGCTCAGTGTATTACATCACCAACTTCTCATCTGACCTCATGTGCACTGAAATCTTAAAATTTTGATCGTCTCTTATCTAATTACGTAACTATTGCAAATTGTCTTTTGTTACCACGCCAACAACACAACTGTTAGATAATTTCTTTTCAAGGAACTTCTCTCTAACAAGATATATATATATGTCGTAACACTTTAGACACCCTGTATATCGTAACGCCTTATTTCACTATGACGCTCTAACAATATGTTCGCTAATGGACAAAGGTTTGTTAAAATTGTACACTTTTTATTTTTATTTTATTAAAAAATTCAAGCTGTACGCAGCTGATGGGAACCAACGAAATAAAATGGATCCAGATTATTTTGCGCCAATGTTTCTTCTTTCTTTGTTCAGATTGATATCAGTTAGAGTACTATTGAAAACGAGGGAGTACTGGACAGTTGTTTCATCCTAGTTTGGGAATCATCAACAGTGGGATTCAAACACAGGACCCAGGAATTATGTTTTTATATGAAAAACATATAGAGCAGAAAATGACATTAAATAAAGCAAATATGATGATAACTCTTGATTTAAACGAAATCTATCATACGTAGGAGAATAACTATCTTTACATAATCTAATGTAGATATCACTGAACATTGAATCGTTATATTGTTTAAATAATTAATTAACCACTTAATACACTTATTTTTTCAACTGAAATTAAGTCTCAATCGATGTTTGAACGTAGTCAATTAAAACAAACTGAAGATAACGCTGAATTGAATCGATTGAAACAAAGAGAAAGTGAATTAACACATATGAATGCTTTATTAAGACAAGATTTACAACTGAAATCAACAGAGAATGAAAAACTTCAAAAACAAGTATGTGAAAAGAAACTGTTTATACCCTTTTTTTGAAAATAACCTATGCGACGTTTTTAATCAATCGTATACATGATTGTTAACTCGAACCTTATTCTTTAGGGTATTTTTGTGTGACTGATGCTGGCTATTGACTGGATAAAGGATGGAGTTTTCTGGAGTTTCATTAGGAAGTCATGACAACTTGAGAGCCATAAGGCTGAGTGTGAGGGCGAATACTCGCCACCGATAATATTGGCTGGTGCCAGTCACAATAAAGTCACGACTTCTCAGAAGTTAGAAGTCGTGGGCGTGCCATTGAGTGGGATCCCAGCGGCTGAATGGTGTTAGAGCTTGGCTTGTAACTGGGAGATCCTGAGTTCAAAACCCAGCGGTCGAGTACCACTGGAGAGTTCCCAAGAAGAGGGAAACAGTTGTTCAGGGGCATTCATTCCTCCTGGTTACTTTCAGTAAGAGATAGAAGAAAGAAACTGCTGTTTTATTCTCCATTGATTACAATACCTGGCCATACCTGTTGATGTTTTCAGCCAGTGACTACGGTCGTCTCTTAGATTTCACTCAGGGAGTCGTGACGCAGTAACAAAAACTGACGTACCAAAACAAACTCTCCCTCTATGGTGCTACTTCATAGACTGATCATCTCTTTGCTTTTTTCATCCAGTTCCAGGGTTAGTAAACAGTGTGGAAGCCGGTGTGATGACAATCGTAGTACATATACAAGCCACCAAAGCCAGTGTTACAAGATGACGACACTTATTGAAAGATTATCCCAACCATATCTTGTCACACTCTGCCAGATCGTAGAATTGCCTAAGTGACGATGTTACCAGATGCAAGCAATTCCACAGAGGCAGTGATAAACAAACATGCAGAGTTCCTATGTATTTTCAGCTTGAAAATGAAAATAGCAGGCTTCATACACTCAGAGTATCACTGTTTGGACGGAAGCATAATAAACCTAATTCTTGTCGGTCGGACAGATCCAGAGATGGTCTAAGTCATAGTATGCCACCCTGGCCTCCACTATACGGTTAGAGATCTCATCTATCATATCTCTACTAGCAGGCATAGAACTTACCTAGATACACCAATTTATCGAATTATTCTAACGATTCACCTGCCAAAGCGAATGCAAGTAAAAACTCCTGCAAATCTTGCAAAAATGCTTTGCTCTTCAACGGACCAAAGCATAAGCCGTACTTACAGAAACTTATCACCGACTGATGAAACGCATCAATCTTAGGTGTACCATGAATGTAAATTTCAAATTTGATGGCACACTTTACAGACAAGTGGACTGAGTGGCGATGGGCTCCCCATCGGGTTTCATTTGGCTGATTTCTTTTTAAGTAAGCTAGCAAATGGACCTTTGAACAACCATATCAGTAAGCTCTCATTTTATTGCCGATATATGGATGACACCTTCGTTCTTTGTGATAATGATTCGGACGAAAAAACACAAGAACAAGAAGCCTTTATACATACGACTGCAATTCAAGGGTGATTTAACAAGTGAAATAATTACGAAAAAATTAAGAAAATCAGTTCAAAGAACTTCTAATGCTGGTGAACTGCACGTCTTATTCTCCATACGACTGACGATGATTCCTAAACTGAAACATAAAGTACCTAGACTAGACTAGCCCCTTCCAATTGAATCTACCGATTCAACTGCACTTGTGGTGAAGCGAGTTATATTGGTCGTTGCTCTAGGAACTTGATTTTTCGTGCTCACTCGGGAATATCTTCCAGTGTGGTTAAATATGTAAAGGTATAGTGAAAACCATCAACTGTTCGATATTAGATCACCCAGTCCAAACCGGCCACAAAGTCAGCCAGGATTGAAGAATCCTTCTCTTTCATCTACCAGGTGTCAAATAAATTTCCAAAAATATCTAGGTACTGTAAACTGCAAACAGCAGAGGCTATCTTGATTCGCATGAAACAACCAGTGCTTTGTATGCAAGAGAAGCAAGTCCAATCAGCCAATACTACTGCTCTGGCCTTCTTCAGTAGAGACTGTAAACTCGTGAATTTGTATTATTATCTCTCCTATATTTTCTGATATTCAGTATGTATTGTTACATTGATGCTAATGAACTGTAATTTGTCGATATTACTGATTCGATTTTATTTAAACAACATTAATGTTGGGCATTTTTAATCAGTCAGTCATTATTATTTTTATTATTATTGTTTCCTTGGGTTCCTAGTGGAACATAGGGCTTCAACTGCACGTCTCCTCTTGCTTCTGTCTTCTTCTGTACTTTTCATCTGCATCCATGTTAGTTCATACTGTTTCAACTCCTCTTTATAAGATCTCCTCCATGTCACCCTCATACTGACGTCCCAATCCCCGATTCCCTTTCGGACTGGTTCCACTCGAGGGCTTAACGCGTGATGTCACCCAGAGGCCTCTTCAGCGAGTGACCGATCCATCTCCACTTCCTCCTGCATATTTGTTGGTTGGCGATTGCTTCTTGTTTTGTTTGTTCCCAGCAATATTTCCTTGTTGATGATTCTTTCCGGCCCGGCCATCTGATCTTCAATATAGATCCAGCGAAGACAGTTAGTTGTTGATAAAGGTCTGCTCTGCAACAGGCTGTTGGAAATATTCTTTGTGACCAGCCAAGTTTCTGATCCGTATAGAAGAACTGACTGACTTGACGTTGTTTGTATTGAAAATCCGAGCGAATTTTGTTGTTGATGCTGACTGAGTGACGAAGATTTCCAGATTGATTTCAGGTCGATGAGTGAATGTGTTTCTCGCTCGCCTTCCCGATTCTCGTTCGATTTGACATCCTCGTCCGTTCCGACTTCCTGTAGTGTGAATCTCCACTAAATAAGTTGGTTAAAACATGTGCGTTGTGCTTACCGCACCACTCACTATCTTACTTGATTGAAAATATTAACCGACTTATGATTAGGTTGAAAAGGAATGAAAGCAGAGAGAGACAGAAAGAGAGTAAGTCGCATACAGTTGGCCACTTATCTCTCTCAATCTTTAGCTTATAGGCTGGATTCCCACTTTATCTGTAAATTGTTGAGCTATTATCTGACATTCTTAGCCCTGTCAATACAATTTAATTTCATCCTCAGTTGTGCATAAATACTACTGGTTGCTGAGAGTAAAACACGACTTCACTGACAGACGAGTCAGAGAAGCGCGCTGATGTATGTTGCCTGAATGAGACCTTAAGGATAGTGAGAATCTTAGTGATTTAAATACTCGCGTCTACATGCCTCAGAACCATTCACAATGACATATACGATGTTTCGGATTATTAGTACTTGAACAAAGACAGGATCCTAAAACAATTACAGCATTAAAATAGCATATAATGGTCGCGCTAAAATCACGAATTGGTAAAAGTTGGAATTCATGGGCGGGGCATTGATATGGATCCCAGTGGCTAAATGGTGTACAAGCTTGACTTTTAACTGATAGGTCGTGGATTCGAACCCTGACCGTGGGCGCCTACTGCTGAAAAGTCCCAAACTAGGATGAAACAACTGCGCAGCACTCCCAGCTTTTACAGTGGCTCTCTAACTGATTTCATCTCATGATGAAACTTGAAATAATTCTTAGTAAGATGAGGACAGCAGCTAAACAATTCAAGGTTGTCTGAACAGATGAACCTGGTGACTTTTCAAAATACTACAGATTCTTATTTTCTTGGATTTTCGAGTACTTTTATGGTAAGAGCTGTCTGTTAGCCAAAATGTAAGCAACAATTGACGTCAGTGTTTACGTCTCGAATCGGGGTCATGAGAAAAAAAACAATAACAAAGCTTTACCTTCAGGTACTCATCAAACAATCACAGAAGATTTAAGGTGTACAAATACGATTGGCAGATATCTTCAAAATGCAGACTAAAAAGACAATTGCTAGTTAGCAGAATATTAAAAGGTCGAAGGAGCATCATCTACACAACAACAAAAGAGAAGACGTTTGCCGAAAAGAGTCTCTTCGCTGAACGTCTTCTCTTTTTCACAACAACAAATGACATGCTATAAGGATTCTGAAGAAATCGCCATATAATCACTAAATGCGAATGCAATACATTCACTTTTAGATAAAGTAGCACTAAATATAGCGTATCTTGACTGATGTCAAAACGTCTGTCAATAAAATCTTAGGCTCAAAAAGTATTGAAACTACTGAAAGAATTTCGCAAAAACTTTTCAAAATGTATATTATAACGACAAAAGACAAGGAACAGGCAACAGATCCTTTATTGAGAAAACCAAGAGGTATTTATAGATTTTTATTTACATTATTATTAGAGTTACTAGTAGCTGAGAGGTAACGTCTTCTGATTGGTCGTTTTCTTGCTCAAGTTTATTCTATCATCTCTTTTGTGGCAGTTTCTCAGAAAGTTGAGCCATATATCTACGAATCGCATTTGCACACGTTAAGTAAATGCTATGATTGGTCGGTGAGTTCATCATGGTTAAACCTTGTTCTTGTTTATTCTCATGACGCCGAATCGGGACATAAACATTGACGTAAATTGTTGTCTGTAAATTTTGGCTTGTAGATAGCTCTCACCACAATATTACATCAGAGAGTGAGTATCAATTAAAACAAAATTTCAGTCACATAAATTATTACTATTATGAGTATTACATTTTTTGATTGTGTGTATGTGTGTGTCTTTCCCATCTATTTTTTCAGCTTTTATATCAAGAAAAGACTTACGATAATTTATTATCAGGTAAATTAATACAACCAAATATAACTCAAGAATTGGAAGCTTTAAAAACTGAACGTCAATTGTTCGCAGATCATATAAAGAAGATTAATGAAGAGGTTAGTAATAAGCTATGTAGAACATTATTTATCATTATTATTATTATTATTGTATCCTTTAATTCCTAGAGAAACATAGGGCTTCAATTGTATCAGGGCCTTTGTTGCCGTTGGTGACATCATGATAGTCATGCCCTCGGTCTGCGTATGGTTATCTTCTGGGTGACCAGAGTAGATCACTGACTCACCCATTGACAATTTGATGAGTTTATTCCCGTTCCATCTGCTTTCACATATTCCCAGTACTTGGATTCCGTATCTTTTCATCTCGTTTGCAATTTGGGCAGCTTTGCCAATCTCGTACATAGTGCGGACGTTCCATGTCCCCACACAGACTTTTTATTTTGGCGCAAAGAGATTCATCGTGCTGAAGTTTCTGTAGCAACTTTGTTGCAAGCCTCACGAAAAGAATTGTTACATTAAGATAAAGTTTAGAGAGAAGCGACCTTTTAGGTTGCTCCCCTTAAAATCGGAAAACAAGGAATAAAACGATCAGGACGACACCAGCAAAAGGAAAATAATTCACACCGAAAAGGGCAAAAAGCGACAACAACAATACAATACAACAACATGCAATATAGTTAAGCAGAGTTAACTAAAATGATACCAAAACCATAGACTCACTGACTTGGGCCAACTTGAACATATAAATCCAACAATATATACAATTACAGATATGAGTTAGTGTTAAAAGGTCACAAAATATCAAACAGTTTGTTATAGGTATTAGTAGTCAACAATATTATATCCACAGGTTTAGTGTTCGAAAGTAAACGGACTGCAATAATTTCCAGAACTTCGTGGTGATATACAACAAAGAAATAAGAGTTTTACGTATCTAAGCAAAATGTGACGCACTAATCGAAAAGTGCGCCAATCTTCGCCTATGTAGAACAACTGCATAGATAAACAATTTTCTTATTACGGATTTCTTTTCCGATCAATAAAATGGTTTCTGCGGTGAAGCAATAAAAGAGGTAATGTGAAAATAGTAGGATAAAGTTAACCTATGGTAGATATTATGTGAATAACCTACGGAAATGATCTTAATTAACCAACCAAAGTAGAGACTTTTCAGAAACACCGAAAAATCGAATATCCCGTTCACTTAAGAAAACCTTCCATTATGGGTAAATTTTTGTTTTGATAAAGTCTCACAATGTTATACAGTAATGTTTACTGATGACGTTTCGAGCATAATTTATTGCCCCTCATAATCATATCATGGTAATCACACGACTTTCTATCTTCATTTATATAATTCCATCATTATTTTCCATCGCTTGATTTGATTGGCAGTAGTATTTTCCATATTTCTGGTATAAGTGATGAGTCATTCCTATTGCATGAGTTTGGTGTTGACTCGATGAACCAGATAGGATTCAGTAATCAATCTCTCTCTCCAGCTATTTAGATTACTTTTTAGAATTTTAACCCTCTCCCACTCACCCTATTGTGTGGTTGTGTGTTAATGCATGCATTGCAATTGCTGAGCTTTTTTCTAAATTACTTATCTTTTCAGGGTCAACCATTCTTACCTTAGCTAAATTCTTATGTTCCGCCAATCTGACTACCCCTGACCTACTAGTTTGACCTATGTAGTTGACCTAACACAGTCATTGCATGGTATTTTGTAAATAATATTATTTTGTCTAATTGGGTCAACTGGGTCCTTTAACCTACTCAGCTTGTCCTACCTGAGTGAGTTTGTAGGTTTAAATGCCACCCTAATTCCTGCTTTATTCAGAATTCTCCGTAGGGTTTCAGATGTTCCCTCTTTATATGGTATAACTGTAGATGACTTATATTCTCTCTTATTTATGTTATTATTAATAGTTTCACAATTATTTTTATTTTGTTTTTGGCCTTTTTCGATCTTCCTAATGAATTTTGCAGGATAGTTAGTTATTTAACACCAAAGCCTCTTCTATCTGTTTTAGTTCATCATTTAGGTCTTTTCTTGTGCTACTTAGTGCTACTGCTCGGTTTGTGAGACACACTTAACTAAGCCTGCCTTAACAGTTGACGGATGAGATGAATTAAAGTCTAAGTATCTATTAGAATGAGTTGGTTTCCTGTACACACTAGTGTGTAGTTTACCTTCTTCTATTCGTTTTATTTTACAATCTAACATCGTAGTAAATTCTCATTGTTCATTTCCCGCTTCAAATGTGAATTTTATTCCCTCCACTGGTGAGTTTATATGTGTGAAGAAGCTAGAGATGTGTTATGTTTTTAACACTGTGAAAGTGTCATCCACATATCTCCACCATATTTTTGGATTAGGGTTAAATGTATTGAGGGCACTATTTTCCCAGCTGTCCATAAATATGTCTGCTACGATAGGGGATATTGGTGATCCCATTGCTACACCTTATGTTTGTCTATATATTTTACCTCGGAATTTAAAGATTGTAGATGTGAGGTAGCATAATTGAATTCCTAAAATAATTTCTTCAATGGGCAGTTTTGTCCTATGATTGAGTTCCGGATCCGCAGTTAGTTCTTTCTTAACTGCTTCTAAGGCTATATTGACTGGTATATTAGTATAAAGACTACTTTTATAAAAACTAACCATTTTTTCATCATTCTCTAGTTGAATGTCGTTTAGTTTATTTTTCATCTCATATGAATTAGTTAGTCTAGAGTTTGAACGATTTCTAATGGGGCATAATATTAGAGCTAAGTGTTTTGATAATTCATTCGTGGGGTATTTCTAAAATCTACTATTGGTAGTATGGGGTAACCTGGCTTATGTATTTTATAGTACCGTATATTCTACTAGCATTATTAGTTTTAGGCATTAAATTAGACCATTTTGACTCACCCAGTGACAGCTTCATTCTGCGTATTAGTTCCGCTGTAGATTTCTTAACCTTATTCATTATTGTGTCTACAGGCTTCTTAATTTCTTCATGTGGACCCGTTTGAATATGTTCAGTAACTTTTTGATATAGTCAGATTTATAATAGAGGATTTTGTATTCATTGGGATATACAAAAACCTCTATTATAATGAATATCATATACACAATGCCCGAATTTTTTCAAACCGTTAAAAAGAACTTGGTTTGGACGTATATAATAGAAAAGAAAAAGTGTTCAGCAAAGAGTTACTCTTTTCGGCGATATCATTCTCAAGCTGTACAAATCGCAAATTTATAGTAATTTGTCTTGGCAACAAAAGGAATATTTCCAAAGATGTGTTAATGCAATTGTTAGTTTTTGACAAACAAATTACGTAATTTTGAAGGCGTTAATCGGTTAGAAACTAAAATAAAGTTACAAAAGTAGGTTGGGTGACGTAATCTGATTGGTAGGGTTCAATGAAAAAACGAATGAGAGTCAAGTTAATAATCTGAGTAGAATTCACTTAAAAATAAACGAAAATCGAGTTAGCAACAGTCGTCATGAGCGTAGAGATTTAATAGAGGGTGGGGGTAGGAAATAATGCAATTAAGAAATAGACAAACAAAGAAGAAAGAGGTAAGACAAAATTACGTATTTGGTGTTAAGATAGATCAAGACCATTGTAGATTTAGTGACTGAACAAACTTCTTTTGTATGCAGAGTTCAGGATTCAATATGTGAATTGCCATTGCTTCTGCAGTTTGAAGAAGTTTAATTCGTACTCTTTTGGCAAGATTTCCACGTATTGTGTAGATAACTGAGAGGTTGTTTTGTGGGTTTGCTTGGTGTCCGGATTCGATCAAGTGTTCTAGGATAGAGCTGTGGCGGGGGGATCTTCTTTCTCCTTTATAAAACCATGAAGGTAAGTGTTCGCTGATTCGTTTGGATAGCAAACGCTGGGTACGGCCGACATACCTAGCTCCACATGAGCAGGTGAATTGGTAGATGCACATTGATGAGGCCCCCAGTGGAAGCTTATCCTTCACGTTCGTGCGAATCATTGGTTTCGTAGAGAAAGTTAGTCTGAGTTCCGCTGCGAAGAAGGTTTTCTTCAGTGAACGGCATAGGCGGTTTCTCAGTATTTCTGCTGAAGAATCTCCGTTGAATTGTAGATTCAAATAGAGAAGTTTCTTGGGAGCAGTAAGCATGGATGGTTTTTGTGTTTTCGGCTTCATAGCTTTTGTGATGAAACGTTCCGGGTAACCGTTTTCAAGAAGGATTCTTTTCAGGGTCTTCAGCTCTTCTTCTATAGTTTCCGGACTGCAAATGTTGTGGATTCTGTGAGTCAGTGAGCGGATCAGATTTCGTTTTGTATATATAGGCACCCAACTGTGAAAGCTGATGAGTTGTCCATTCCATGTCGGTTTTCTGTGAATGGATCTTTTGAGTGTCCCATCTTGTTCGCGTCTTGCTAGTTGCACGTCCAGAAAAGATATTGTTGCGTTGGACTCCTTCTCTAGTGTGAACTGGATTGCTGGATGGCAACTGTTGAAGAAGTCCAATATGTTCTCCAAATTTTCCTCATTATTGGCGATAATAAAAGTATCGTCCACGTATCTCTTGTAGAATCCGAAGTTATCTATTATCTTCTTTAGGTGTGTATTTTCTAGTTTTGACATGAAAATATCTGCAAGCAGCGGGCCGAGTGGTGAGCCCATAGCTATACCATCTTTTTGTCTATATATTTCATTATTGAAAGTGAATTGGACGTTTAGAGTACATCTTAATAGGAGTTCCTTCAAATAGTCAGTGGGGATACCAATGTTCATCTCCTTTGAATCAATATATTCACATATATAGCATATTGTTTCGGTTAGTGGGACGTTTGTAAACAGTGATACCACATCTAGTGAAAACATGGTTTGATTGGAAACGCTGACGTTTTCAATGGAATTGACAAAATCGAAGGAGTCTCGAAGTGAGTGGCGGGAGATTTGCTTTCTGACTGGTTCTAGTATGTTTACTAGCCATTGTGCGGTACTGTGATAAGGTGAATTAGTCATATCGAGAATGGGTCGAAGAGGTACGTTTTTCTTGTGCACTTTTGGTAGTCCATATAGCCGGGGTATATTTGAGCCCGACGGTTTCAAC